GGTCTTGAAAATCTGCAAGGACAAAGATCCCAGAAGCTCTCTGGGACGCTTGTTCTAGTGTTTAATTACCTTTAAGGGGAAAATTTTTTTCCTTAGTCAGAATCTCATATATTTCTAGTTGTGGCCATTTTCTCTTGTTCTTTCACGACGTACCTTGGCAAAAAGCCTGGCTCTGCCCTCTTGGTATCCTCCTCCTAGGTACAGAAGGCTGTTATTGGGCCCTCCTGAGTCTTTTCCAGGCTGAATAAGCTTTTCTCAGCTTCTTTTCATAGGACAACAGTGTCAGCCCCTGGGCTGTCATGGTTGTCCTCTGCTGGATTTGCTCAACTCGACCATCTTTTCTGTGCTGGGGGCTCCCGAACTGGACACAGTATTCCAAGTGCAGCCCAGTGTGTGCTAAGTAAGAGAGGATAACCACTTCTCCCAGCCTGCTGGCTGTGCTGCAGTGGACAGAGCCCAGTCTGCTGCCAGGGCACACTGCTGAGTCAGGCTTAGCCCAGTGCCCCCCAGCAGTGCTCTCTCTCTTGCCAGTCAGTCCCCAGCCTTTACTACTGCAAGGTGTTAGTCCAGCCCATGCTGTGACTGTGCAGGGATAACAGTGAGGCTGATTGACCTGTAGTTTCCAGGATCACCCTTCTTGAAGCAAAGGAAAAAACATATGCCAGATATGCAGACAACTCAGATCGCAGTTTCCACCATGTCTCTGCAGCAATTTGTGGGTTTTTTTGTTTTTTGTTTTTTTTTTTTTAAAGGATTATAAGCTGAGGTAGTTACAGAGCAGCTTCATATGCAAAATAGAAAGCAAGGAAAAAAAGACAGTATCATATTTAAAGATATATATTGAAAATAATTAAGTTGATTGAAAATAATTAAGTTTTAGCTGTACAAAGGAAGCTGAACCAGGCGTTTCAAATGCCACTGCAAGCCAAGTGATATAGTAACTAAAGAAAGAAAGAAGTTATGTAAGGTAGGTAAAAGATCTTCAGTGTTTAGTTTTGTTTACACTAAGCAAAACATTCAGTAGAAACAGCCTCTGTTCCAGAGGATAGTGAACCAGTTGTATTAGTCTTTGAAAAAGGCTTTTGGGGTGAGCAGGTGTGTTATACAACAGCAAGATTTATTTAGGTACGTTGATTGCCTTAATAATTAAAAAGGAAAAAAAAATTGCAAGAGTAACCGATCTAAACAAAGAAGGTCCTGCCTCGATTATCTCCCAGAATTATTTGAAAATGCTAAAATGTAGTAGATAAAGAAGAGAAGATGGTTCTTGAGTTTGACCTGGTTTAGAAATTTCTCTATTCCTAAGAACAACACATGTCAAGAGCTCTCATCCACTGAAGCATAAGTTTCCCACAAGGATTTTTCCCCCTCACTTTCTGTTTTAATCAGGAAAGGAATCCAGATACTGAAAAAGTACTTACATGAAAGTAAAGAATCCTTATGCATTTAAATAGTTTTTTAATCAATGTAGTTTACTTCATTTAGGATTTTTATCAGGCAATATCTTGGCTATGAGTGGGCTTTGGCAAGTTTCATAGGAAATTATTACTGCTTAAGGAGTTTCAGCAAGAACTGGCAAAACATTCAAATACAAAAGCTTTTGAAAATCAGATGCATTTGCAACACCTCAACAATAAGTGTTCCATTATAATTAAAACAGTACCATTAGTCATGAATATTTGTAATCAAGGGCGGATCTGCTGAGGTGGAGGTATCACAAAGGTCATTCCTTGCCTAGCATGCATTTTTCTTGGCTCATCTTACCATTATATCTGTACATCTCATTGATTTCTTCAGATATCTATATCAGAAACCAGAAAAACAAATCAAAAGTACAAAATACTGTGTGGGAAGAGGTGCAATTTGAACTTATCACACTGTCGATATCACACACAACAAGGAGAAGCAGGACTTCTGTTCCCTCTGTGTATGCACACAGAGTACAATATATTCAATATTTTTGTTTTCTGACCCAAAACAGCTGTGACAACACTTTCAAGACTTCAGTGGCAGTGGCTTCCTTCAGTGTAAATTAGATGGACCAAATTTTCCTAACTTATTCTTGAAACCACACTGCCAGGATGCTTCTTTCTTTTTTTTTTATTGATACACATAAGGTTTCCCTGAGAGCACTGCTCCCACAAGACTAACATTCTTGCTGGGGAATGTTCTTCCTTCACTTATGCCAGTGATCTCAAAAGGAGAATTTGGCCTACAGATCAAATTCCCCAGCTCCCAGCTTTCTGTTTGGAGAGGCAACCAGGCATCCACAAGCACAGACAGTTCTTTAACTGCTGTGGAGGTAGGGATGCACAGCGGGAAGCCCAGTCTCAGCAAAGCCAGTTTTGTATTAAATTCTGATATCTGATGTCAGTTTATTATGTCCTCAATGGACTTATGCTTTATTCAAAAACATGCAAGTTTAAATTTAAAAAAAAGGTCTGTAAATTGTGCCCCTGCAGAGCTGGTGATATTTTAGGGAGGCCATGGGTTTCTGTGAGACTTCCTCCAGCTCTTATAGGGATAAGTTGTGGAACTTAGTGCTTAACTGATGTTTAGTCTGGGGACCTTCTTTTCTGCAGTTGTCTTTTTGATGACATCCACAGCAAGTGATTCAAGTGTCCCATGTACTGAGAGCAAGGATAGGGGTTTACTTGCTGGGGAAACAAGAAAAAAACTGTAAGAATCTTGGGGGAAAATTTGCTTATCATCTTGACATGTGTACTCTTCAATTCTTGCATATATTAGAAAGCTGAGCAAGGTCACTGTGTATCCAGGGCCTAATCAGTATGCTATTAAATATACTTTTTTTCCCAGTTTTAAGTGCTACAGGGCACATTATAGGTTGTAATATACCTATACAGGGAAAACATTTTCCTCTGTATCTTATTTTGAAGGCATTTCTCTATTACATAGTCAAAAGCTGTGAACAGATCGTTCCCTACTGGCTCCAGGCACAGTGCTGCAGACGAGTGTGCTCTCAGCAGCACTGCCCTCTCCTGGGAACAAGGGATCAGCAGGTGCACAGGGAAAGGGTTGGCTTCTGCAGCTGAAACAAAAAATGTGGGATGTCTTATTCGTATGATTGAGAAGCAAATCTCTCACATGTGTGAGAAGGAACCAGAGAGCCAAAAAGCCTATTCCTGAGAAAAAAAAAATCTGAACAATTTTCTATGCAAATAATACATAGAATTATATAGAATGTGATATATATATATATATATATAATTACAGAATCATAGAATGCCCTGGGTTGGAAGGGACTTTCAAAGATCATCTTGTCCAAGCCCCTGGCATGGGCAGGGACCATCTCCATCTTTCTTGTCAGCTCCCTTCAGGTACTGGAAGGCCACAGTTAGGTCACCCCAAAGCCTTCTCCAGGCTGAACAGTCCCAATTCTCCCAGCCTTTCCTTGTAGGAGAGGTTCTCCATCCCTCGAATTGTCTTGGTGGCCTCCTCTGGACTCGCTCAAACAGGTCCATGTCCTTCTTGTGCTGGGGGCCTCAGAGCTGGAGGCGGCACTGCAGGTGGGGTCTCACCAGAGCAGAGCAGAGGGACACAGTCACCTCCCTCAGCCTGCTGCCCACACTTCTGATACAGCCCAGACACGACAGAACCTTTCCATGGTCACTGTAATAACAAAGAGAAACTGGGCCAAGTTAACCCTGCAGAAATCCTGGTGAAGTCAGGCTCAATCTGGATTCTGATGTAGCTGATTTCTCTTCTTGATTTGAGTGTTGACTGATGAATTCCTGCAGATTTAGAAAGAATGTTTTAGGATGCTACTACCTTACCTGCTGACTTCTCCTCCCAGCTAGATGTCACTGCCACAAATATTGACCAGCATCAATTAGCCATATGAGCATTTCTAACCAGCTGCAGAGCAAAGACTGACAGGTTTCTAGACAGAAAAAAACCAAACAGAAACTAGGCCTATATACATAAATAAATTTGTAAGTATTTGACATAAATCAGACATAGGTAGCAAGAAGATGTAGTAATAGTGATTCACACAATATCTCACACAATATCTTACACAATACACAATTCTGATGTAATACAATCAGTAATACAATCTTAACCTCAGAAATCATCCATCTCCAAAGCTCTGTTTGGTCTGAAAACAGACAGTGTGAAGCTGTGTTAAGTTATTCAGAAATGTCGCATGGTTTTCATGGAAATAGAACTTAAAATACTTTTAAAGCATGCAATTAAGAAGCTTTTGAAAACATTTATCTTTCACTTCTTTAGGACTTGAGCTATATCATTTGATCCAATGTAGAAGTTTTAAGAACCACTGATCTGTGTCAATTTTCCCACTTTCTACTTAGTTCCTCCAGTATAAAAAAAAATACCCCCAACCCCAAAACCAAAGCATACAGAAACCAAATATTCTGACAGTTTCTTGGTTTCCAATGAGAATAAAATTTTACTTGTATATCTTTTATGTGGAGATTCACATATATCCTCAAGGATATAATTTGATTGTTAGAATATTAAGGAATTGTAGAATGGCCTGGGTTGGAAGGGACCTTAAATATCATCCAGTTCCAATGCCCTGCCATGGGTAGGGACACCTTTCACTAGACCAGGTTGCTCAAAACCCCATCCAACTTGGCCCTGAACACTTCCAGGGATGGAAGTATCCACAGCATCTCTGGGCAACCTGTGCCTCACCACACAGTAAAGAATTTCTTCTTCTGCTACACATTCAACCCTCTGGAAGTTCTGTGTGCAGGTCATATGATTTCCTGGCATAAACCTAAAAGGAAAAGTAACCCCTGACCTCTTGGATTTTATTCTCCTTAGTGAACACTAAGAAAGCACTAGAAGTACAAAGTGTAAAAAGCATTTTAATAATAAAATGAGGACCTTTTTTATCTTGGGAAACTTCATGATGGCAGAAAAGGAGATACTGACATCCCAGAGAATGGAAGTAAAAGCCTGAAGAATTGAAATAATTTTTTTCACTGAAAGGTCATTAGTTTATTGTTTTTCAGCTCTTGCAACCAGTGAATCAACTGAAGAAGGCAGCAGTTGTTTGAGATTTGTCATCCCATTGCCTACGTGTACAGTGCAGGATCAAGAAAAGGGGACACACCTGTCTCCAGGAAGAGAGAGAGCAAGACCTGACAAGGCTTGTAAAATTAAGTGAATGGTGAGGAAGGAACACGGGAGAAGAAAGGAACTCTCACTTGAAAAAAAAAAAAAGGTAAATGTGAGGAAACAAAAAAGAATAATTGCAGTTTTTAAAAGTCCTTTGCTGGCCATCTTTAAGTGTCCCCTATAGTAATTTACCTCTAGTTAAGTGTGGAGAGAGGTAGAAGAGAATGGAGCTACAGAGGAAAAAAAAGAGCAAGAAGTGGAAAATAAAAGGGATGCAGAGTCAGGAGCTGCATCCCCCTGATTTAGAGGAATCCTCATAAACACTGAGCATTGCTGTGTTATCAGTGGGACTACACTGAATAAAGTAGACTGTAATGCCATAAAATGTCTATCTAAGGCATATCTGCACAGACCTATCAAGCTGCAAAAGCAAGTCAAGTTCTTCATAATCCAGCTTCTTAATTAAACAGGCACGATGAAGCCTGGTGGCATGAGCTTCACCATGGCAGGGCAGCCCAGAAACAAGCTCTCTGAAGATGCTCTTATTGATGCTAGTGTAGCTTGAGCTAACTATAACACAGCTGGTGTGGATGGACTTGTCAAGCTAAAATGACATTTTCTCTGGGCTGGCTAGGCATAGGTAATCGGTTGATTGCAAATCTCAAACAGTAATGTAACTGTTTGGGAGTGTTTGTTAACTTGGCAATGTTTATTAAAAGCATATTGAACATAACTCTAAGAGCACCTAGAAAGAAGACATAATTACTTGAGGAACTGCTATATAGTTAAGCAAAATATATATTTCTTAATTACAGCTATTTTATGATTATTTTTCAGGTTTTTTTTATGATATCTAAGCGTTTTGCATTTCTTCCACACCTAAAGAGGAGTATCTTCATGAAAATTTCCTAAACCAGGAAATATCCTAGGTCTAGGGTGCAGAACTGAATTCAAACATGATTTTTCCATGACAGACATATCGATATACTTTGCAATATTACACAGTAATTTAGGAATCTAGTCATCCTTCTGATGCATTCAGAAACTATTTAGTTGGTATTATTGCCCCTGTCTAATTGCTCTTTCCATGACAGTTTTGCATATTTGGAATAACTTCAAAATCTTATGGTTCTGACAGTTGTTAAGACAGCAGGCTCATTGCCTATAACATAAACCACAAGTATATAAAGACAATTTTCCACTCACTTACATGTATTGTAGCATCTTGTGATTCTTTCCACAAGATGGAGATTACCCAAGATGTGTTGCAGTGAAAAACCAAAATCCTACAAGGAGTCATAAATATGTCCAGTCTTCCTAAATACAAAGTTCTGGACACAGGGAACTTGCTTTATTTTTAATTCATTGCTGTTTAAACCAAGGTACTCTACAATTTATGTGGGATTACAACTGGTTTGACCATGCAAAAGATCTGTCCAGCCATGTGATACTTAGCAACTCCAATAACCCTCTATCAGATATCAACTATATAAAAAAAAATCTCAAAAATTATCAAAATGGAAACAAATGTCTTACTGTTGTCTAAATGCACTGAGGTAGGTGCTAATTGGGGATCAGCGATACAGACTGTTGCTTGAAGAAATCCTTGTGTTAACACCTGTCTCAGATGTAGACACAAATATTTCATACCTTTCAGCACACAGAGCAACTGCAATCATGCTCCCAAAGAACTGAGTGCATTGTTCTTTCAGCCATGGGTGTCCTGAAACGCTCATACTTTTTTTGATTGCTGGTTTCTCAATCGTTCCCTTTGCAAGTCACTGGAGATTTCACACCAGTCTATTCCGTTTCACAACAATGAACAGTGTAGGAAAAAGAAATTTCCCTTAGTACAGAGAAGTTTGAGATTATTTTCTCAGAGCATTTTCCAATTAAATTCAAAGCAGTTTGCCAGTTTATTGCGCTGGTGGGTGCACTGAGCCTGATACAGGGTATGTTATTTGCCTCTAGATGGTGCTCTCCCGTTGAGATTAAACAGTTCCATCCCCTTTTTCATTACACGTTTCATAATTAATAAATAATAGTAAAATATTTCTCTCAAAATCAAAATAAACCCTATCATAAGAGCCAGTAAAAAAAAAATGACCAGAATGCATATGAGTGTACCATATGGTAATTTGAGATATAGCTGATATCCCTCAGATTGTTTAAGGAAGTGATGTTAATTCTAGGAAAATCAGCACTGGAGCCACATAATATTTAATAAAAAGGTGCAAGTTCAGAAAACTTCAAACCATGTAATGGACATTTGTTAAATAATACTTTATGGTTAAATAGCATCAGTTCCAAACAGGTGATCATCCAGCATTACAGACTGGAAAACAAAAGCAAAGGGATTACTTGTTTTGTCCAAAGTCTTGAAAACTGTTCTCGGGGCGTGGGTGTGTGTAGGTGATGGAACATTTGCACTTTTGAACAGAGACAGCAGCTACTGATTTCCATGTGGCTAAAGTGTCCCTCCTGGATGTCCTGCTAGGGAGGAAGCATGACTAGGCTTTACTTCACAGCAGAGAATAAGCCCAGAGTAGGAGCACAGCCAAGGGCCTTCCAGTTGAGAAGCCGTGTTTTTTCCTGGAGAAGTAGGAAAGCTGCATATTGTCCCAGCAAGGCCAACCATCCACATTTTTTTCCCTGTATCTACAGCTGCTCTGGTGCTGGAATTGCTCTCCCACAGTCACCACCACTACTGGCTGCACAAGTGTGGTCTCTGAGTGTCTCAAACTCGTACAAGACTTGGGTTGTAACTTGGGCATTTTAACAATGAAGCTCAAGAGTTTCATTCCAAGAACAAATTCCACTGTTGGCTGTGGTCTGTGTGGATCTGTGCATGCATGTTTCTACTCAGCATTCTCCTTCACATGGTGCAAGTTTTATGCCAGAAAATAGAGGTGATTCTCAGAGATTTCTGACAATATCCATTGTCTTTGAGCATGAGGCAGGTTTTTACATCATTTATAAATGATGTGCACCCTTTTGGGTTTATTTTTACTTTCAACAAGCAACTCTCGCACAATTCTACCCAGAGAGAGCTCTAACTGAGGTGGCATTCATCAGTAAGAGGACCTCTTGGTCCCAGCATTCACTTCCTATTTCTTCTGCCACATGCAGCTGCGACACACCCAGGAGCATTTTGGTTAAAAATGAAACAAAGGAAGGTTTTGGAGGCCAGCACTGTCTCACTGGTAAGTCTGAAATTTAAGCTGACTCCTGGGGAAAGAGTAGCTTTGCCTTCTTTTTGTAGTAACTTAATAGCCATCCTAAACTATTTTTTTTTGTCCTCTGTCCCCTGCAGTGACAATTATGCAGGGTCCACCTTGCTGCTTTCATCCCAGGCTCACATTTGAGTAAGCCCTATTGCAAAACACCAGTCTTCATTCCTTTGCTTTCTCTCCTGGAGTTTAGGTCTCTGTTCATACCAGCTGTTCCAGTTCCAGGTAGAATGGAACACCCAATTGCTCATGATGAAGATTAGGGTGTCAAACTCTTCTGCAGCAGTCAGTGCTCCCACACGCAGAGTCTATTTTCAGATAGCACAAGATCAGACCTGTAAATTGTGCAAAGCTGGCATTTAGTGTGCCCTTTAACATACAAATGCATTGGACAAAAGCAACTGAGACTCCAGCTTGTGTTAACCCTGGTTAATAAAGAAAAGAAAACTGAAACTTGGAGACTGCAATGTGAGGGATTCTAGAAAATACTGTACGAAGCATTGCTTCCCGACAGGAATGACTCAGCAGCTGCTTTTCTTACCTTAATGTGACTTCTGGTTAATAAAGCTGTACAGAGGGAATGATCAAGAATATTTATTCCCTATGGATCTAGTATTGAAATTTTTTCTTATGACCTGACATTAGGAGTATCTCAGCTTCTGTTCTCTAGGATCTGCTCCATTAGCCACTTCTCAAGCCAATCATTTTTAACAGTCATAGAACCATCACAGAAAATCCTGAGCTGGATGGAACCCACAAGGATCATCGAGTCCAATCCCAGGACTTTTGCTCTCAGTTTTTCTGCCTGCAATAATTTAAAATACTAGATCATCTAAACATAGTAAAATTGTAAAAGCACTCCCAGCAAAGTCCCAGACAAAGCTACTGTACAATAAAAACTGTATGCTTCTTACACACATAAGAAACACCTCCTTAATTCAACATGCCAACTCTTTTTCATCTTTCAGGATTCAAACAGGTCAGGAAATCACTGCACGTAGAATTGTGAAATTCTGTGCCCCAATATTAATATTTAATAGCGACTTTGATGTCAGAGCAGCTATTACTCCAAATTCTTTGTTTGAAAAGAAAAATCAACTGGAAGGTACAAATCTATTGAAATAATTCTACATCTCATATAGTTTTGTCTGTAGAGTTATGGATATAATTAACTAAGAAGTAATCTTTTGGAAAACTTTATTAGGAGTAAGGGGTACGGATTAGATTATTTTTAACATGAATGTCTTTAGCATGGCATTTCAGTATCCTCCATAACAGTAATTTAATTAAAAATAATTTTTCAGAAATACCTCAACAGTTTTTTCTACATGGAGAACTAAGATGGCAGATACCACTTATATGACTGAAACCATGATGACCATGCTGCTCCCCAGATTTGCCTCTAAAATGCTCCTCAAAATATCATTCCAAGGTATCCACTGGCGTGGCCGCTCTTGTGTTCGAGGCTGGAGTTTGTCCACCATCGTGGTTTCTCTAACGCTGGTTTCTGTTTCATTAACCCCACTGTCTTCTCTGTCCTCGTGTCCTCTCTGTCCTCAGAGCTGCAGCAGGGGCTCACACACCTGTCATGGGGGTAGGAGGTTAAATGTCAGTCACATAGTTCCAATCTAACAAGCAGACAGTGTGCAGAGGGAGAAAGTGGGGAGAAAGGGAGGAGAGCTGAGAATTAAACGACACTGGAAGGCTGACTGTGCAGCTACACTTGCACTCACGATCAAAACTGGCCAGTGCCCATCATACAGCAGCTGTAATCCATTTCCCTGCAAAGGGAGCAGGTCTGAGGCAAGTACAAAGCTCACACCTATAACCCAGATGCGGGTGGATTAATGACCTAAAGGTTTAAATTACAGT